GGGGCAAGGAGCTTCTGGCATCCGTTCTCAACATTTGGGGATGCTCTGCCAGGCCGGGAGAGAGAAGCAGCGCTGCCAGCTGGAACACTGTTCGATTCCACCCCAGGAAGAGTGGCCGTTTCTACCAGTGAACCCCAAACTTGGAGGCCGGCAGGGGATGGCTTACCTCGAAGGAGAACGTCATCGCCAGGACCTCACACAGGCTGGCCGGGTTGCAGGAATAGCTCTTCAGGCCCACGAACCTAAACTGGTAAAGAGGACAAAGAAGTCGGAGTCACAACAAGCATAAACAGGCCTGGTGCTTTATTTGCTGGGTGAAGGTGAAGCGAAGCCTCCAGGTTTAGAGGCAGTCTACCACCAAACAGCTCAGGGATATGGGGTGGGAGTCACCGTGTGCAAGTTGGGCGGCCATATAAATGTGCTAATCAATCAATCAATCAATCAATCAATCAATCAAGCCACGCCAAATCAATAACGTGGCTCTCCTTCTCTAATGTGAGTAAAAAATAAAGTAAAATGAAATCAAATCAAATCAAATGAAAGTATAGCTTTGTGAAAGCCTCTCCATTATTTAAAAACAGTTAGATTCTCCCAGCTTCCCCTGCCCCCTTAGGAGAAGAGAATATGCATCAGGAATAAACTTTTATCTGGAGAAGAAGCTGGCAAATTTCTATCTGCATTTGTTCAAAGCAACAGGGCCATCTCTTTCCAACACAGCCTGCTGGGAAAGAAAAAGCAAGGCCCAATTTAATTTTCCAGAAGGTGACATCCGGGAGGTGGCATTTTCCTCGAGAGAACACATCCACGACTGAGAACGGCTGGGAGGGGGCGGCGTGAAGCAAATTTACGCTGAAATTAACTCCGCCGCGGATTGGAAATTAACTTCACCGCAGTCCGTGTGGCAGAATCAATACAAGACGAATGCTTCATTGCGTAATGCCCGACTCACATGCCCACGACCCTAAATTGACCAGCTTCGAGATTCCCGTGAATTAAAATCTAACCCGCTTGCATGATCTGGTCAAAAGGAAGAAGTGACTCACTGGGTTAAGCCGGCTCTTCTCCGCCAAGCCGCTCTCCTCTTGCATTTTGGAATGCAGCCAGTAGAATCTGAAATCTGTCTGGAGAAGGGAAAAGGGGGCAAGACGTGTGAAAGGCTGGCTGCCCCCAACGACTGAGAGCTCCACGCCGCGTCTGCAAGCGCAAGCAGAGCCCAAAACGTTTCCCAGGACCGCCTCAACCGCCGCGTTGCGGAGGTCGCACGGAACAGCCTTCGCGGGACGGTGCCCGTCTCTTTCCGAAGCCCAGCGGGGGGCTGAGGTTCTGGATTTTGGAACGACGGTTGCTCGAGCGTCCAGGAAGCCTCATCGACGGAGCACGAGGTCCTCGGGGCTTTACACACCCAAAGGCAGCAAACTGCAGAGTTTGTTTCCTGCGACTTAGCAGATCAGGAAATGAACTCCGCGAGAAATACTGGAATTTATGGATATAGAGGATAGCCTCAGGATCTCGAAAGCCCGGCTGGGTTTCCCCTCCCTCTTATCTCAAAGAGTTAAGGCAGAGTCAGTTTTCAGGGTCTTGCTAAGGTTCTCTTCCGGTCCCCGGCTTCAATCCTGTTTGGCTAATGACCACATCTCTTCCCCAAGGTCATCTCTGCAGTTCTCTAACCCAGCCCCTCTTGTGGGATTTATTTATTGATTTATATTTCAAATCTGGTCACCGCCCATCTCGCTAGGAAGCGACTCTGGGCGGTTTACAGTAAAAACAAGAATAAATATGAATTAGACTACAATAAAAACCATATTCATACGTAAATAATACTATCTTCCAAGGTACTGCTGGTAGATAATAGAATAGAATGGAATAATAGAATAACAACTTTACTGTCATTCCAGTATACACTATACACCAAGTACATAATAAAATGAAATTCCGTTGCAATTGGCTTAAAATCATACACTTAAATACAATTGAGATACCTGAGTTACTATAAAATATACATTCTATACATTTGATATTAAACATTCAGACATCTAATAGCCTGGGGGACAAAGCTATTTCCCAATCTGGCTAAGGGTATTGACCTACAGGAGCATCTTCAAGGTGCTAGCCACCCCCAGGGCTGGTTGTCCCTCTTCTCGCCCCACACCAGGTCTTCACCCCTTTCTGGAGGTCGAGAGAGTAGGGGCCTGCCTCACCTCTGGGGGGAGGGTATTTACCTTTAAGTAAGCAACTTTGAGGGCAGCGTGAGTGGGTTTGAAGGAAAACAGAGGAGAAAACATCCACAAGGATGGGCAGGCCAGGTTCATGCAGTACAGCTGATTTAACCTAGTTTCTGGGTTCACCCAAGCCCTTGAATCCTAGGCTCACCCAACATCCGAAGCCACAAAATGCCAAATTGAGGTTAACACTAACCAAGCTTAGGAGGCACTTCCTATTTGACCTAGTTGTGTGAGCTCAGCCATCATTACCTGACAATCATAGACAGGGTGTCCCCGCCAACACATCACGTCAAGGATGTAGTACGTCTGCTGAATCTCATTGTAGATGCAATCCAAGATGGTGTACTCTGAAAGCATCACCAACAGAGATTAGTCTTTACGTTAAGTTCCGACTGCAGCATTAACCAGGATGTGCAAAGGTTTCTGTTTCGGAGAACTCCAGAATATTCTTTTCTCCTCTGGAAGGAAGATTCTAGAAAAGTGGCCACCTTCAGGAATGGCTAGATCAGCAAAATCCAGAGATGAAATGAAACATTTTGGAGTTCCCTGGAACGATGCATTCCAGAAATGTGTTGCACTTACACATATTCACGAAGGATTATTATCAGGAGAAGAGCCATCATTCTGTAACATGAGAAAATGAATCTGCAGCATTTCCATTTACGAGGATCAGATAATGGGAGATAGAAAAGAAGTTCTCCTAGATATTAGGATATATCAAGATGGAGGGAAGCACTAGGGGTTCTAGGCTGCAGTGCTCCATGTGCAAATTGCTGATTTATCCCCAGTGGGGACTGTTAGCACTTCTTATTATTCTGCTAAGGTGAGAAGGAAGACAGCCCCTCCAAAAAACCAGGGGAGTTAGAAAGACTTTGATCACGTAGTGCTGCAAAAGGAAGGCCTGGAGAAGCTGACTTGATTTTGTCCTTGCCAATAAGAGTAACAACAACAGTAATGAGGATTATGAGGATAAAAAGTTGGAAATTCACCTTTCCCTGTTGCTGAGTTATGTCGGTTCCCACCGGGCAAAAGAGAAGGGAACCGATTGACGCAGTAACCGCTTTTGGTGTATGCTGCTGTGGTGCCCTAAAGGGGTGCAAAGCAAGAAAAAAGAAATGAGAGTGTGGTTTTCAGGGCAAAGGGTCCACTTGACCTGGGCACCTCGGCTTGGACTTGGGAAGGAAGAAGAAGAAGAGGAGGAGGAGGAGGAGGAGAAGAAGGTGAAGGAGGAGGAGATGGAGAAAGAGAAGAAGGTGGTGGAGAAGGAGGAGGAGATGGAGAAAGAGAAGAAGAAGGTGGAGAAGGAGGTGGTGGAGGAGGAGGAAAGAGGCAGCCCACCCCTTTCTGCTCCTCTTCTGTGACTATCTCACTGTTCAAAGATTCCTGGAGTGTTTACCAACATATGAAACAAAAGCAAAGAACGAAGAGAGCATTTTAACCACCAGAGGAGGGACACGGGAGTATTCAGAAAAACACAACACCCACAGAGAAGGCCTGAAAGGTTTAAAAGAAGGCTGAAGGTAGACGCTTCAGGCCTGCCTGGTTATGAAAACACAGCTTCACCACAGGGAAGCAAAGGGAAAGACTTTGCAGCACGGGCTGTGCCATTTTCGTCAGGCCAGGCAAGGCTGAGGCCTTAAGACTGGGATGCTGGGGCCAAAACGGCGCCTGTTTCTTGAGAAGCAGCACTGCTCTCCTTCAGCGTGCCCCGTTCTGAAAACGTGGCAGGAAGAGGGTCTGTTAGCTGTTTTCTCGCCTGGCTAGCAGGAAAACCAACAGCCACGTATTTATGTACCTCCTGCCTCTTCATCCAGGAGCACGAGGCGATATACACACGGCTCTCACCTTCTTCCCCACAACAGTCTGGAGAAGTAGGTTAGGCTGAGTGAGAGGGACTGGCCCAAAGTCACCCACGAAGTTTCCATGGCCAAGAGTGAACTTGAACCCAAGTTTCCTGTTGCCACTCCAACCCTCAACACGTTGGCTCTCCGCCTGGTTTCGTACCTTGGACGCCACCACTAGAGCTCTCTTCCCTGTAGGGCACACCACGAAGAGCCATTCCTGATCTAAATCCGGGGGGACATCGATCAGCCACTCCGAGAGCATCAGCTGCAGAGAAGGGGAAAGAAAATGGACCCATTGATTGTCCTGAAAGTTCCAGAACGAGAAGGAAAACTATCTGACCTCACTGAAGAAACGGAAAGTTTGTAGGTCAGCTTCTGAGCACCTGCTGAGAATGTCCAAGATCTGAGGTTCGATCCCTGATGTCTCCAAGAGGAAACTCTGAAATCCCCTGTCCAGATGAACCAACAGGGCACCTGAGCATGGCTCCTTAGGTTCTCATTTCCCAGGTCACCAAATCACAGGATCCAGCCAATCCAGAGAACCTAGGATGACTCAGAAGCTGGATATCGGAGGGGGTCTCAGCAGGGCAGACTTGCTCCAGGTGCCTTCTTGGACTGCTATCCAACAGGGCCCAAGGAGGTGAACCTGCCCACCTACCCCTCTCTTCTTCCCAAGATCAAACTAGCTCCTACTCCCTGAGTTTTCCAAAAGCCGCCAAAGCTTAGCTTTTCAACGGATCCTAAGGTAAGTTAGAACCCCGTGGGATGTTCACCGTTTCTTGGCGACCATCCTTTTCTTGGTAATTCTATTAGTGATTGCTAGATGCCTTTTTCTGACCTGGCTTTGTGTTTTTCACTTGGCTGAAAGAGTGGAAGGGACACCACGCAGTGTCCCCCCCGGAGCAGTTTATAAAGCCTAGTGAGTGAGTGAGTGAGAAGAAAGGAACAAGCAGCAGAAAAACTCAGCCCTGCGCAGTCTCGGTAAGAACAGTGAAGCTGCAGGTGCAACCCGAGAGGCCTTGGCCCTAATGAAGGGAGCTGGTGGCCTCGGATGATAATTTTTCAGGGAAACGATAAGGCCGGCCTTGCCGAGTGACTCAGCCGTAAAAATAATTCTCAACAGTGAAGATGACAGGATTTGCTGAAATGCCTAAATTGACTTGTTTGACTAGCGAAAAGACAATATCTACATTTATCGGTGAATGGAAACCCCCAACAGACTTTGTGCTTAAAAAAGAAAAAAAAATGAACTAGTGATTTACGGTTTTGGTGATTAGACAGGATAGATTATAGGAAGAAGAGAGTCGGAGGATACTGAAGGACTTTTTTTAAAAAATAACAATTTTATTGTAGCCAACAAATGTAAGAAATGGGATGTGAAAATATGGTTATATAAAAAAACCGAGACCTTCAACCTTTGCTCTAGTGTAAAGTTTATTTTATGTATGTAGATGTAATCCTTTCCCTTTTCTTTGATTTTGCTTTTTAGTTGTTTTTTTAAAAAAAGATTGGATGCACGAGTGAAAGGAGAAGAAAAACAGCCTGGAAAAGTATAACAACTAAAAACAATAACAGTTAAGTTTTAGCTGTTTTAATTGGTTTTTAACGGCTTTCACTTCAGTTGTTTATTTGTAACTAATTAGTGTTTTCTGTTTTTAAGTGTGTGAACTGCCCAGAGTTATGTACGCGAAATGGGCGGCTATATAAATTGAATAAATAGAAAAAAACCAAATGAACTTAAGACAATTTCCTTATACCTTTGTCAAAAACAAGATTAATGATTTTTTTCATGAACTGGCTAAAGTTGCATTCGTGCCATTTAATTGCTAAATGATGCTATTTAGCCTCTAAATTAAAAAAAAAAGCTCCTTTTGAACTTTTCGGAAACTTTTGTATGGGACATCCTGCCCACGGTTTCATACTTCGCCTTTTGAGACTCGAGTCCTTTTGATGGGTTCGGGCTTTAGCGACTGGGGTGATGCTGTGAAACGCAGCTTGCATTTCCTAAGTTTTCCAGGGAAGCTGAGCTTTTGGATACATCACGCACACAAACTCATCCGTGGGTTTGACGAGCATCCATCCACAAGAGAAATATTTAACATACCTATCTATTGCATCAGCCTGTTAATTAAAACCTGTAATTTGAGGCCTCATTTGGAGGCCCAAACCACTAATGAATAAAATGATAAAAAAGTAGGAGAACCAACCCCTATTTTCTGCTCTGGATTATGTCTGTTGCTCACCTGGTTGGCATATTGTCTGGGCAGCTTCTTCACCATCTCCACCTCCATGTCTTCCTGATTTCCATCAGCATCGGCTTTCTCTCCCACCTCCTCCTCCTCCTCCTTCTCCTCCTCCTCCGTGTACTTCCAGTCATCCTCTGCCAGCCTTCTAGCATGGTTTATATAATCCAGTCGCTTCCTTGACACACACACACACACACACACAC